AAGTGCACTGAGATTCAGCTTAGTCCTGAAATGAAAAAAAAAAACGTGTTCTTATCGTTGTGTGTTTGGCCATGAAGGGTGAATTCAAAGTGCTCCTCCAGGTCAAAAATGTTCATATGATTGATATTTCTTATTTCAGATATTCATAAAGGGCATTCCTTTAACCTTGCCAGTCTCTTTCTGATGCACCAGCATGGCTGATAAAAAACACGGAACTGGAGGGTGTGTATTGCAAACCTGACAGCATCTGCCGTGTTTATGGCCACATATGTATAAATCATGTCAGGTGGGACATCAATTCTTTCTCTTCCAAAGCTTCCATGAAAAGTCATGCAGCATTACAATGGGAGAAAGGTTGATTTGAAGCCAAATTACTGTTTATCAATAACAACCTCAAACAGTTGTCATGGTTTATTAAAGAGTGTTGATATTGGATTACAGGGAATCAAGCTGGCTGAGGTTTAATAGCATTGAATGTGTTAGCTTTAGCATTGGTGTCTATCGCTATCTATCCAAGTCTTAAGTTAAACCTCTGCAGCTTTGTAAATCACCTCATTGACAGTGGGTTAGGTCATTAACACCCCGCGGCATCAGTAATTATGTCCTGACATGTCCTGCACAACAACATGCTGACTGTCAAATTCAGTTTATAAGCCCAGAGACAGCTGTGCAATGACACTGTTACCATGTGACCCTAATTGACATTAAAAACAATGCCATACAGTGTCTTGCGACTTAAAAGGCTAAAGAAGACATGTAATCATTTGCTAGATTATACATTATGATATTGAGTGTTTGATCGCTGTTCTTGGATATCAACTGCTCTCTTTAGAGACCGTAAAGCATTTTAAATCCTGCCTCCCAAAGGCTTGGATGTGATCTGAAAATGGATTAAATTAGACATTGCTTAAGGTAGAAACAGTGCACCAACCACCGTTATGATGAATGAATGGTGACAGTTGTCCCCAGCGCTATGTGCTGCATGAACTTGATCTGAATTTTGTCTGACAACCGCAGTCAGACGCTAATGATAACACATTATTACTTTCCTGTCCAACATCATTTAGCTATAGCCTACATTTTTAAGGTGTGTTTATGAGAAGGAGTGCGCCTTTTTAAGTTCTGAACCATAAATATAGACATAAATACTGTGTCTTTCTATGTTGAGTGCGGGTGAAAGCCACCGAGTTTCAGCACCATGGACAGAGCAGAGCATTGAAGGTATAATACTCTGTTATTATGGTCTAAAATCATGAAACATAATATTAGTATACAACTCAGATTCAGTGCCATATGTTGTTTGTCCTTAATCTGCCAAAATAATCTCATTTCAGAACCATGGACAGGGCTCAAATAAAACCAGCATTATATTGGTGGGGGATTTGTCCTACATGTACTGCATTCCCTGAGGTTTAAGGACCTGGTGATGGAGGAGGGAAATTGGGGCACATTGTTTTAGATGTCCAATCAATGTCCATGGCAAATACAGACGATTAAAGTATTCAGTTTTGTTTGCTGCTTCAAAATCTTTAGCCCTTTGTTTCCGGCAGCGCCATTGACACTTCAATGACGTAGGAAGCGATGAAAAACTATAAGCTATTTCAGCTTGGACTTCTCTTTGCAGCTCTACATACTACTGAAACTTCCAGCTGAAAAATGCACTGGAGAGAGACCCAATTGTTTGTTTTTTTGAAACTATGCAACAACCCTCTGTTTAAGCACAATGGACAGGGCTGGTGTTGAACAGTGTTGAATTGTAAAAGTGTTAAACATTTGGTATTGTTAAATAGTTCAATGTGTTGACCAATTTATTCCAAATGTCGTCTGAAACGTATGGTTATTAACACTTAAATATATTATCTGACACATTAAAAAGTCCTCGACATAAAATGCACTGTTCAACAATAAGTAAATAAATGAACATTTCCAATCATAATTTCAGCACCATGGACAGGACTAGTCTCTGACATAATTCACTATTCACTATTAAATTGGTTAAATTCTACTTGTTGGTATTTTATAGCATCCTTTAGCAAACGAGAGATATGGTGGTGAAAGCATGGTTTGTTCTCAGTGTGCTGTGTGTTTCAGCACCATGGACAGAACTGTGCAATATTATGGCATATCCATGCCTCTATCTATCCCATGGGTGGGCCAACTTTTTGGCTTGGGGGCCACTATGAGTTTTAACATTTGACAGACGGGCCGGGCCAGTAGCAGATCGGTGAAAAAATATTTTGCTGTCCACTCCTCATTAAACACTCGGCACTCATTGTCGACTTTTCTTTTCTTTGGTCCACTCATTGTTACAGATGCAGGTTCAAAGGTGAATTATTGCGTCATTGCGTCATTGCGTCATCGTTTGCGTCATGACGTTACCGTTTACGTGCCTTCTTATGACCCACACAGCGTTTTACGTCACTGATTTTCTCCGCAACACCCCTCACAACAACATCAATAGAGGACTGCGTTGGGTAGTTTTTAATCATACAAAGCCAGATTAAATTAAAGAACTACTTCTCCAACCTTACACCTTTCTCCAGAGTGCCGTGGTGCATTGTTTATGAATGTGGTTCAGCGGCATTACCGCCCGCTGCAGCGCTGCTCGTCCACCGGAGTTACGGTTAACTCACGGCAGCGGCCGCTTTAAAGTATTCACTGTCCGACTGTCACACAAGCAGCTGATACATCCCCCATTTCCATCAGTGAATGTGTGTCAGTCTGAATGGACGCTGTTTGGCATCACAACGCTGTTATGAAAGTTTNATAATACAAATAATACAAAACAACAGGAAAACGTCTGCCTCTTCACAATGGTCAATAACAGTGAATGGATGGTCATTAAAGTAAGGTAAAATAAACAGAATCACACTAAGCCTGGTTAGTGTTGCCTGACTTTATATAAGTGTGTGGTTGCGTTCTAGTCACTTTGCTCAGCGCTACTGCTTGTTACAACTTGTATTTGCTGTACTCACCATGAACTGTTATTGCTCAGGTTAATCTCGACATCCTCCAATGTAAGCGTGACGTATTTTGGTTCTTAGATGTTGCCGGGTTGCCGACTCCAGCAAAGGTAAATTGTGTCTAGAGTGCGCCATCTAGTGGGATCAACTGAAATGCCGGGTATTGCAGGAAAAAGGCTAAATGAATGCAGTCTTTAATACAATTAGGACAATTTTGTACCAATATTCGGCGGGCCGGATTAAAAAGCCCAAAGGGCCGAATATGGCCCGCGAGCCTTAGTTTGCCCATGCCTGCTCTATCCCATACACTATTTACTGCTTGCATACTGTCTTTGTTCACTCTATTTGTGTTTCCCATATAAAAAGATCAACTAATAACAGCTTTATACAAACAGGAAATACAACAATATGTGTAAACAATGCCTTCAAATCCAACTGCAACCATGAATGTCACTTTCAATTCATCTAAATACGCTCGTAGAATGCAAGGTGATTTTCCAAAGTGTTCTTTGTTCACAATGAACTCTTATTGACACGTAATTTGTACATTTCTTCCAGTCTTGTGCATAATGTTCAATTTATGTGTCCAATAGTTCCAGTATTGGTATGCATGCTGACTTTATGATGTGCTTAATTTATAAACGATGTATGGTATTTATAACACAGCTATTGATGATCAGTGTTGTGATAGTTACTGAAAACCAGCAACTAGTTACCATTACTAGTTACTTCATTTCAAAAGTAACTCAGTTACTTTACTGATTACTTACACCCAAAAGTAATGCGTTACTGTGAACAGTAACGCATTAGTTACTTAACAAAAAAGGGCTCCCATTAATGCCCTTATAGCCTTCATTTCAGTACTGTTAATTATTAATAAATTATTGGAGAATAATACAATCTGTTGATCAAGAAATAGCAATATAAATAGTAGAAATAGCCTGCATGTGTTCTACAACATACCATGCAATGGCTTTATCAACTTTTCCCTGGCTAGCAGTCCCTCGGTTCAAATCCAGCCGCTGTTGCTTAAGTGGAGGTGGAGTGGCGTCGGATGAGTCTGGGTCTGTGGTCTTAGCTACTAGCTTCGTCCCAGCATTGCTGTTTTGGGCAATAGATAAGATCTTCGACCCGCCCAGACACAACTTACATTTAACTAAAACGTTCTTTTCTTTGTGCTCGACAAAAGTGAAATAGTGAGAATATCTCCAGGCGGAGAAACTCGAAGCTCCGCCGCCGCCATGATAGTCTTGTTAGTAAACACAAACACGCCCACAGCGCGTCTCCGCATGTGACACAGGAAGTATTTAAGTACATTTACTCAAGTACTGTACAGTTCATCTCATGTTCGCCTCGCTGTTGGCGCCGCTCACCAACGTCTGGGAGCCGAGACTATATAAAAAAAATAACTGAGTAACGCACCATGTACTAACGGTAACTGAGTTACTGAATTTAAAAAAGAATGCGTTAGAGTACTAGTTACTGCCAAAAATAACGGCGTTACATTAACTAGTTACTCCCAACACTGTTGATGATACATTTTCCTACTAACATTCACAACATTCCCTTGGTTTTAGCACCATGGAGAGGGCTGGGTGAGATTATTAATGACACTTTTAATTGCTTTTCCTCAATGTAATGCTTCACATTTTGTATCGTGATTGTGATCCCGTTGCTTTATTATGAGTGTCGCCAGATTTTAGCACCATGGACATGAATCGCGTTATAGTATGGAAATGATACCGCTGCGATGACCAGCCCCACTGTAAAATCCGACAGGCATAGCCCTTCATTCCTCATAAGAGAACAGAACATGCCGTGCATAAACGCTCGTGCTTCTGAATGGAATGAAAGCATGTCCGGATCCCTCCGTGGCGCTGACATCGACTGAGCTCTGCATCTTTAAAACGGGAAAAAAAGAAAAGCCAAGGAAAACACACAGGCAGTTCAGTCATAACTGTGGGACGATAAGGACTACCTCTTTTTACTTTTGGAGAGAGCCAAGGCGTTAGGGAGAGCATTCAGCATCAGCTGTTCAACACTGGGCTCTCATTGCTGGAAGTCGAGGCTGACTCAGTCACATGACGAGCTGGAGGCAGAGATCTAGAGAAAAGGCACAGCATTTCGGCTTGAACCGCCATACTGTATTTTGAGCCATATCACATTTTTATTGCAACATTTTACTCCCGCTCGGTGAGTACATTTCCAATGGCTTTTTTGTAAGCATTTTTTGTCTTTTTAATTGCCCCCTTTTTTATTTTTACTCCTTTTGCTGGTGTTTGAATTGAGCATTGACATGGTGGTTTTGAGCGTTTTTCAAATCCAGGCTTCAAGTTTTTAGCATGCAGTTATTCTGACCGAGAGTGCCAACAGGGTAATCGGTGCGGTATCGCTCGAGAGAGAGCCTTTACTTACTTGCTCGAGGGTCGAAACCAAGCAGCTTTTGTCAGTATTGAGATTTTTCAAACAATTTGTTGGTGGTTTTGAAACATTTTTATTTTTTGTTTCTGTCGACTTTTGCTGTTGCTATGCTTTGGTTTGCATTGTGCAGTGTTGTTTGTTGCCTTCGAGTTTTGTGATTTTGATGTGTCGGTGAATCCCACCGCCCTTGCTTTTACTTTATTCTTCTTTTCTTAATAACAAGGAGTCCTTTTTAAACGTTTTGACGTGATACTTTTCTTGCAGTTGAGCTCTCAGGTTTGTTGTTTTTGTGTTTCTCTCTTTTTTCAATTTCATTATACTTTTGCTGGTGGCAGTGTCAAGTATTTTTGGATGCTGGGTGGACGAGGGGAGTTTTGATTCTTGTGGGAGTTCAATGCGTTTTTGTTTTCTGTTTCAACGAGGATGAACAGACATTTTCCCCTTTGCAGGTATATATATATAATATGAGTGGACACGTTTCTGTATTAAAAATAAAGAACAAGGTGATAGAAATATGCACCTGTGGCTGACGAGTTATTTTTGTAAGGCCAGTCAAATTGCTTATTAAAAAAGGCATTCTTTATCAATGTTATCTGAAGGTTATCTGATATGATCGTAATGCTTTCCAAAATACAAAAAATCAGTGATGCGATCAACAATTCAAGAGCAAGGATTTGATTACATGTCATTGATCACAATGTGTTCCTTGTTTTGAGTTCAACAATCTTCAAGCCACCGCAGCTGAGGAGTAAATGTAAGTAGCAACATGCAGGTCCCTCGGAAGGATGCACTAGAGCCACCGAAATGATTTTCCCGCAGATAAAGTATAACAACTCCATCCATACCGGACTTGCTCGGGCAGATATCACAATTCCATTTGCTGCAGCATGCTTTAACTGCATCAGGCTACGCTACGGGAACATATTATAAAAAACACAATTTCCACTACAGGATGGGAAGTACACTTTAAGTGCCCCCCTTATTGCTGGACACACTCAAATCGGCCTATCCATAAGTACTCTTGGATTGGACAAATCTGATTTCGCAGGAAAGGAATAGGGCCACTGACAGGACTAAAAGAGGATTTATGGTGCATTAATCCTCAAAGAGCAAGGTTTAACTTCAGATTAAAGGTTTGCTTTAGGACATGCAAACACGAGTAAATAGTTGTCTTAAAAAAGGAAATGGATCGCATTATATTTCTGTGTTCAGTAGGCTACACTATATACTTCTGGTTATTTTCTTTTACTAATGCAAGGAATATGTGCTATATTAACATTTCTAAATGTCCAAGGACCTTCTCTACGTCTAGTTTTAAGGAGTATACAGTCAAAAAGTACTGCTTTATGAACCTTATCTGACTTTTTTCTGGACTAATCATTGTTGTATCTAACGTTCTGGCTTCAGTAACAAACATAACTTAACATCTGATGAATTTGCTTCATTTTGATCCATAAGTATTCACTTTTACAGAACAAAAGGTTTTATTAGTGCAATATTGTAAGCCTATAAATACATGGGGGTGGATCATAAAGTCTGGGTATAGACCGTTAAGTCCCCCGGTGTCATTAAACAAGCCAAGGTGGGAGATCAGAATCAGTAGAGTTTAATGTTGGGAAATGATAAATGTTGAATGCCGAGCTAGGTAGGCAAAGTTTTAATAAGACAAATTGATAAGAGCAATTCAGATAATACGTTTTTATCATGTATTGGGAAGCTGTTATCATGTATTGACTCCCCTGTCTCCTGTTAAAATATATGCCGCTCATAAAGCAGCTGTAGATCAAGACCCACAGGGAGGTATAATGGTTTTAAAGTTGTGAAACAATTCAGAAACAGGTTTAATAGCCTTTGTATTCAGTGTTTGCTCACAGAGCTTTCATTAAACAGATGTAGGTGTCCATTTATCAGTGTTATCTTTTAGGAGGGGTGATAGAAATAAACCATTATTATGCTGCTTTGCATTATTCACAATTAAACAACATCTGATTCTTCAAACAAAGTGCTTCAAAAAAAAAAAAAAGATTAAGTCATTAATAATTAATCACATTTAACAAGTGAAAGAATGACTTCATTTTTCAAGGCCTTTATTTCAAGCCACCCAGCTAATTATGGAGAGATGCTTATTTATAAAAACGTCTTGAAGGCAACACACTTTGCTCTTGTTTATCTCGGCAGAATGAATCACCAACATGGTGACTTTTTTTTAGATGTGTTAATTGTAAGACTTATTTTTAATAACGCTTGAACATCATGTGACGTTTCTTTCCGCCCCCTAGTTGACAGGGCTGCTGGACATGTCTCCCGCTAAGCATTATGATAGCTTCTATTACTTCCTGCGGGGTTGTGTCTCCCCTCCAGGCAGGCGTCCTGTTATCTAGGCCAAGCCAGACCTGCACAGGAGACTTACAGAGAAATATGATAGCTCATGAATGGATATACCTCTGCTACCATGAATAAAACATCAGGCAAGAGCAAATTGTGTACACTTAGTATATGTTTAACTGTGTACGGCTGAATGTGTGAGTGTTACAGCAGTTAAGGTGTCAGCAGCACAGAGTCGGACAAATGTAAACATAATTGATACGCTATGTGTATTTTACACATATGTTGTGTTATTAATATGTTGGATTCAGCAGGTATGAACACTGTAATCCATATTGATACATTTTACAAGCCCAGATGCATCTTCTGTTGACATTTTAACAAGCTTGTCAGTATCTACTATTACACACACCCTTTACAATCAGAATCTGAGGCTTAAAAAGTTGTAGAAAAGAACCACACTTTAAGAGTGTTTTATAAAGATAATGGGTTTTTTTCAGTCACCGTGAGATGTTGGAAGGGATTCTGAAAGAAGCTTAAAGTTATATAAGAAGCAGGAGCAGAGCTTTAGTGGGTTTATTGGCCTTCTTCTTCCATATATGCACAAAGGGAGTTTAACGTTTCATAGCAGATGCCCTTTTCCAACCTTACGTCAATCTCATGTCTGGCAGCTGCAAAGTCAATCCAAAGTTCACACTGATACTTAACATTTATCTGACGTAAGTGTCTTATTCCCTCTCTGTAGTGTTTTTAATCAGTACTCAGACTTCCTTTACCCATGGCTCTCAGAAGGGAAAGAAAGAAATAATGCATTCTTTCCTATTCTTCCTTCTTTCCTATTATGCTTTTTTTGTGTTTTCCCCTTTCCCATAGTGTGTTATATAGGTCTTAGTGGATGTAAATGGTCAGCAAAGGCTGAAATCTTCTCTTCCAAAAACTCCCCCCCGCCCCCCTTCCTGAAACACATCAACTAGACTCCTTTGTTTACCTCCGCAACATAGTGACTTCACTACATAACACTCGCACTTCTATTGGCTATAGCACTCGTGATAGGCTGAGGGGCGGGACATCTCAAATCAGTTGAACAACACAACACGACAGAGCTGGCCAGCTAACCAATCAGAGCAGACTGGGCTCTGGTTTCAGACAGAGGGGGAAAAGAGGCAGGCTGTATGAGAGCTTTTTGAACATTAAAGCGTGTAAACATGTTACATTAGAGGCAGAATTTGAACCTGAAATGAGCATAATAATGCCCCTTTAAATATATCAATCTAGAAAATAACGTGTGATTAAATTGGTTATAATGTCTTTTCATAATAATAAATACAATACCTAATACAATGTTAAATACTGGATTGTTAATGCTTTATATATTGTAAAAAAATCCTGTTACATTTGGTAGTTTGAGCAGTCTTTAATAGAAGATAAATCAAATATATATTCAATGTAATGTTTTCTTTTCAGTTTTGTGCAAGCAGTACATTCTTTATGTAGCCTTAGCGACACATTCCAGAGCAACATATTCACAAATGAGTTATTTCTGCTGCTGAAGCTTGATTTCTTTTCAAATTAAAATATGAGCATTTAAATCAATTTAGAGCTTCTTCCATCAGGATTTATGAAGCTGGAAACCCTTAACCATATCTACATAACCTGGCGCATACTAACACTGGCATGTACATCATGTTCCACTCTCTCCTGCTCCCCCCCCCCCTTCACCAGATAAACAGCTTACCTTTGGCATGACTCATTCTCCTGAAATGAGCGTTAAGTATTTTACTGTCCTTTTCTTAGCTGTTAACTTGATAAGTGAGGGGATCTCACACTTGATATTGTGGGCAATTAAACCCATATCTGAAGAATAGGGTCAGGCTGAATGACTTCCCACCGACGATTATTGGAATCATTTGAGTTATCGTGTCTCACTTAAATGAGCCTTCTCTACTGACATGTTATTACATAATTGCACTTCCATAATTCATCATGGAAGGGCCATCTTAGTTATATTTCATTAAAAATGTTGTACTGAGCGTGTCGCTTCGTAACTAGATTACATGCTGATGAGGACATTCAGGTCAATATATTTTTACTAATTTTGATTATAAGTGACATCTGGTTGGAATTTTGAACATAACAGTGGCATAATGTCGTAGCTGCGTTGACTTGGGGTCGAATAATAAACAAAAGATACAGAATCTGTATTTTCCCAAGTACTTTTCCCTAAAATGGATGGAAAACGTTTATAAAAACAGCTTCAAAAATGATATTGCACTTACTCAAAGCTGAATAAGTATGCAACTGATGTGTTTCGGCTTAAAGAATTGTGCGATGACACTTTCTATACTCCTTTTCTGGTCATGCTAACCCTATGCCAAAGAAAATGTCAGAAAGGAGGCATCGAAACCTCTCCTTAGCTTTTAGAGACTTTCTCTGATAATGGCTGCCACTTATACATCCCAGTCATTTCACTCAGTTAGAAAACGTTCCTACAAAGCATACTTTCTGAGTGCATGTGCTTGCGTAAAGGAATAAATCACAGCAGTAAAAATGCAGTTTAAAATGAATCTGCAATTACTTTCCTTTTCCTTATCTAGAGCTCAAAGAGAAATTACGTTTTCTAATTTTAGAAGGAATTAAGGTTCACACAGTCTGATAAGAAAGTATAACCTGAACTCACAAAGATAAAAGGATCCTTACATGTCACTTAACAGTGAAACTCTCTTCTAAAGTGAGTAGAGTTGATGCTGTCTTACTACTTTGTCAGCTCAGTGTGCCGATATCGATCCAGCCGACCCGATAGCTTCCAGGGGACGTCTGTTTCAGGTCGATTCATCATATTCAATAGCATCTTATCACGGTGTTCATCAAATTACATTCAGCAACAGAATCACATGGGATCAAAACATACAGAATTAGTTTTCAGATTACATTTACTGCAGATTCAGCGTCAATGCCCCTGATAGTATGTGTGTGTGTTATTATTCTTCTCAAGGTATAGATCCAGATAATGACTCTCTGTTTCTGTACGAGTTTGTTTCCTGAAACTAAACTTTTCGGCATATTAAAACAGTTTCTCCTCATCTGTCAGTGGGGCACATCGTTAAAGTTTAATCCATAAGCAAAA